CTCTTGCAAAAGGCAAACCTTTCCCTTGCCCAAAGGCAAAGCACCGTTTGAGTTACGATTCTTCTCACGGAGGAAAAATACCAAGTGATCTCTTTTCAAATGCTTTCTGCTTGATTTCCTTCTCTTGAAGATAACGCAGCTGAAAATTGAGAACAACCCCTTTGCTAAGGGATTCAGGGGCAGTGACGACAGCGACCTGCGCGTGGCACGACTGCAAAGGTACCGTGGGGCCATGGGAGGATGGGCAGGTGGACAGGAGGGATGGACAGACAGGAGGGATGGACGGACAGGAGGGACAGACTGACAGGAGGGACAGAAGGACAGGATGGGCTCCATGGGGCTTCCCCCTGCCCGACTGGCAGTGGCCGGAGAGCCTTCCATCGCGTGTGTCTGTGCATGGTGTGAATACATCCATGTGCTGCACTTTGAAGAAATTTTTCAAATGCCATGGGGGCACCCAATTTTCTTGTATTTGAGGGCACTGGGGCGCTCAATGCCCTTATACCTCTGAAATGCTCTTCCTCTAGCTCAGTGACACACTCTGTGTTGTCGTCATGCCTGCCCACACCCAGAGGAGCGTGGTGAGGCTGAGCTCATCGTGCTTGGCAAAGGGCGTTGCAGTTGTTGGATGGGGATGCTCCAGGGAAGCCAAACTAATATTTCACCCTCCTGTTAATGCTGATTGCTGTCTAACCAGTAATAATTTTTCTCACCTCCTTTAGCAAAGAATATCCAGTAATTTCCAAAAGCATCATGAGGCAGAGGTTGGTGTCCAGTCACGGCCAGCTTTCAACAAAGCCAGATGTTAACCCACTTCACGGGAGTCACCAGACCCTTCAGCATTATCAGTATGAGAATGGTGCTCACATGCAGTTTGCAGCCTCAGATACTCAAGATCTGCCACTCAACACCTTCACAGCACAGAGAGATTCAGGGCTCTTCTATCATTGCCTAAAAAGAAGAGGTAACTAGAGTTTATAACTGGGAAAATATTAGAGCAAATAATAGACCTAAAAGCATGGGCATTGAAAGCTTACCATTAATTCCAGTTTGTTTTCTGACTCTTAGGCCTTAATCTGCAAAGTGTCCAACGTGCTTTGGAGCTGAGCTTTTGGGCAGTTGTTTGTTAGTGGTTTTGTCCCATAGAAGGCAAATTCAGCCTCTGGAATCAGAGCTGAAAAACAAAACAAAACAAAACAAAAAAACAATCAGAATGCGTAATTCAAATGGAATGAAGCTACACTGGAAAATTATCGCTTGCTAGAATCAGCTGAATTAATAATATTTGTTTGGAGGGGCCCTTATCTATCCTGAAATGTCCTGACACTGCCATTAGCATTAACGAAGTTGCACACATTGAGCACTTTCCAGGATGAAGCCATTAGCAGTTATCTCGATGTCTGCAGACTAGTGGGACTGTGGTGGCTGTGTGTAAGCATCCCTTCCTCCTTATCAACTCGTTCTGAAGTTTAAGCGGACTGTAGCTCCGCTCTCTTCCTTTTAATCCAGCTTCAGATGAGATCATGGCATGTTTTAAGTTAAACGGAAAATTTCTGCCCAGCAAAATCCTTCTATTTGCATGTCTCATTGGCTGCTAATTTATTTAAGCTGTGAGAATCCTCTGATCGCGGGCAAATGAGGAATCTAGCAGCACCAGTAACGAGGACTGCAAGGCAAATGTGTAATTTTAGCAGATGTTTAATCTGCAGATGAGTTCACAAATTCATCCGGAGAGTGTTCCTAACAGCTAACAGAAGGCGGCCGGCGAACGCCGCCGTGGCCATCGCAGGAATGGGGTTGCTGCTTCTGAGCTTGAGGCCTAGGGGAGGGCCAGGTGGTTGGCAAAGGTCTCTTTTATCTCAAGATATTTCTGCAGCTTTTGACGTGAATCTCTGGGGAATGTATGGTGATTTTTGCAATGACAGGAAGAAAGGCTGCGATAAGGCCCTCTAAGAGACTTCTTGAATTTGTCAGGGGTAACGCTGCGGCAGTGTCAGGGACCTCTGTTATCTGGGGGAACGTGAAGTAATCTCTGATGTGAGAGGAGTAGGCCAAGTCACTTACTTAACCTGATAAATGTCATCAGAGCGCTTTGAGGCTGATGGGATTACTCCGACGTTTGCAGCACGATGTTGTCGTGACATTGTACATTGTCTTCCCAAAGCAAAACGGTTTAAGCGAATTAGTCTGAAAAAACAGCACCGGTAATGTAGCAGGATAATCCCAGATTGCCTGCTCGGATTCTGAGGGGACTTCATAAAAACCCCAGCGGCTCTTTCTGGGTTGTGTCTGAGAGCCACCACCCCGGGAGCTGCTCCTGAGCACTGGTTTCTCTGTTCACAGAAAGCGCTCGGCACCTGGACCTGCCCTGCAAGCGCTCCTATCTGGAGGCCTCCTCGTCCGTGGGAGACGATCACTACTTTCGTTCCCCGCCGCCGTACGACCAGCAGATGCTGAGCCCTTCCTACTGCAGCGAGGTGACTCCGCGGGACGCCTGTATGTACTCTGGGTCTGGGGCCGAGATCGCCGGTGTGCCGGCCGTGGACGACTTGCCGCCTCCGCCTCCCCCCTTGAGCTGCAATATGTGGACTTCTGTCGCACCTTACACCAGCTACAGTGTTCAGACAATGGAAACTGTGCCTTACCAGCCCTTCCCCGCCCACTTCACTGCCACCACCATGATGCCGCGGCTCCCATCCATCGCGGGGCAGGGCTCGCAGCCCCCAGGGAACAGCCACTTCAGCGTCTACAACCAGCTGTCCCAGTCTCAGGTCCGGGAGCGCGTCCCTCCTTCCTCCTTCCCTCGGGAACGGGTGCACCCGTCTGTGTGCGAGAGAAAGCCCCCCTCTCCGCACCTAAACGCGGCCAACGAGTTCCTCTACTCCCAAAGCTTCTCCTTGTCCAGGGAGTCGTCGCTGCAGTACCATTCAGGAATGGGGACTGTGGAGAACTGGACTGACGGATGACTCCGCGGGCCCAGGGGTGCCACAGCTCGCGTTACTGCTCCCGGACGGTGTTAAGCCAGCGTTGATACCTGTGGGTAACTTGCACTTCGGTGAGACGAGTGTGCCTTTCCAGAGGGGTTTGTGTGCGTGCAGAGCTCGTATCTCCAGGCACACGGAGCATTCCGACTCCTGTCTCGGAGGGCTGGATTCATCAGCCTCTCACTGACTTCCGAATAAATTAATTCTCGCCTCTTCGTTACTGATCCAGTAGAAACCATCTTCATGACTAACAAGCCAAGTAGCTAGTCATTTGCTTTCGCCTATAACATTAAACATCCGTAAGCAAATTTTGGCTACTGGGGAAAAATACGAGCTTCACTTTTACGGTACTTGGTTCGCGAAGTCACAGAATCCCCCAAATCAAAGGAAATCACCATCTGTTCAGCCGCGTAGCTCCAGGACTGCTGTAGCAGAACTTCCCAGGCTCTTTCTGTCTGCAGAAATTCCCTTTCCCCCGAACCGGGGGAGCCTGAGCGGGTGCCGGGTGCGGGGCAGCGGGCTCAGGGAGCTGCAGTGCCGCGCCGGTGGCTCCCCGGTACAGCTGGAGCATGGCGTGGAGGAGAGCAGGCCCCGATGCACAAGCGTCTCCTCTTCCCCCCACAGCACCATCTTTCGTGGCTGTGGGAGACCGAGAAGCGAAGCGCTAAGCCCCAGGCCAAACGGCAAATTAATTGCAGCGTTAGGAACAGACCCAGTGTCTTCAGACTCTCATCCATTGATTGAATCACACTTGCTTATTGCAATATATTTATGAAGTTTAAGCTTAAAAGTCGCTAATACTTTCCAGAAACAATTTCTGTATTTGCTGGTCCTTGATTTCTTTCGTATTCAGCTGAAATGTGCCTTTTGTGCTATGTTTTTTTTTTTTCTTTTGCAGCTAACTCAGAAAGAATTGTGTTCAGCATAAAGGAGGCATAGAGAAGTGGTTTTTAATTGGGGGGTGGGAGTGGAAAGAGTTCCCATTACCTGTCAGGCTTTACAGTGTACAAATATTTGTAGAACAGGTAAAAAATCTGTAACCAGTGTATACATTGCTACTATTGTTTACCGTGGAAGTATCTTGAACTGACTCCAGTGCTGGCTTTGCCTACAGAGTGCCGAGAGAATCACTGAGCCGACTCACATGGCAGAGAAAGCTGTGCTCCTTATGGACCCAAACTCCCATTTACTTTACCCAAAAAGCTCTGGAGCTCCGGTCTGTAGTGTGCAGCACAAGCAGCATCCGTCTCGCCAAGCATCCTGGCGCTGCCGTGGTGTACCCAGAGATGAGAGCACAGAAATGGTGCTAGGAGTCTGGTTCCACTGAAGAGCGCAGCATTTAAGCCTTAGTCGTGAACAGCGGGTTGGTGGAAGCTTTTTGCCCCTGCTTCCCACCTGGGCAAAGACAAAAAGCTGAAATGCAAATTTGGAAGTCGGGAGGTGCTTCTGCGTTTGGATGGATCCATTCCAATGAGGAGAGGCTGGTGAACGAGGGCAGCTGCTCGCAGTCAGACAACCCTGAGGCCACTAAGGTGGAGGTCGTGCTTCAACCCGGACAGTCCTAAACCAAATCAGCAAACCATGTGTGTGACTGGTGTGGATTTTGTAATCGGATTTTGGAAATCACTACAATTTTTGCATGCTGAATAGCTATTTATATACATATATATATTATATATATATATAAAAATATATATATATATATCACAAATGCAGGCCACGTGTCCAATTCAGCTTTGCTTTTTACGAATGAAATACTTAATAAAAATGAATGTTGCAAGTTTTTTTTTGAAAGACATCTATTTAAGATTTTTTTTTATTACACACCTTTGATGTAAAAACTAAGAATTGGTTAGATAAAAAACATATATACTACAGATAAATCTTTATTAGAAACCACATTAGATACAGGTGGTGTGGAATTTTTAAATGTTTGTTACATAGCATGGACATTTTATTTTACATATCAGAACATAAAGTCATTTTACTACTATAAACTGTCTCTGGGTGCATTTCAATAATTAGTATAAAAACATTCCGTGGTGAATTACTGGCTGCTGTGTCTGTCTTCTGTTTCCTACTGTCTGATTATACCAATTAACACTTGCCCAAAATTAACACTTGACCCTTTATAACCGTGCCATAGCGACACCAGCAAACTTTAACTGCCTGCTGCAAGACTAAGGGTTTTTTTGTTTGTTTTCAGTATTTCGTGTTTCTTTTCCTTTTTTATTTTTTATTTTATTTTATTTATTTTTAGTGGACCACAAGCACTGCTAGACTGAAGTTAAAAGCAGCTTGTAACAGGAGCAGCAAAATGATGCTCCCATACTTATGCGTGGACCGGTTGCATGTACAGTGGTGAAGAACTACAGGGCTGGGGGGCCGCAGGGGTCTGAGGGTATCGGCAGCCATAAGGTGAAAGGCTCGGGTCATTCCTCACCGTGACACTGAATCAACACCACGAGACGAGCACTGCCACCGTAGCCTACAATTTATGGGGTCATGAGCCCAGAGTCCACATGCCAAGCTGGACTGGCTCCTTTGCCTGTTTTACAAATATGACTAACAATAATAATGGCCTTTTCCATGAATAATCACCGCCGCTATTTTGCACCATTTTTCCTCCGCTTCTCTTGATTAATGCAATATTTATTGGTTTAAGGCAGCTTTGAAAGTAACTCCTACCAGAATTGTTCCGGCAGCTTTCTGCTCATGCAGGGAAGGCAGAGGAGCCTTGAACCCGTAGCTAATGCAGGGTTTAACGTTCAGATGGAAGCAGACGAGGGCACACGCGGCCGTCAGGCTTTTTGTAAAGCTCACGGCCGAGGTTCGGTGCTGTGCAGGCGCTCTGTGAACCCCCGTGGCACACCGCGAGCTCCTAGTTTTAAAAACAGGCCATGGTATGGCCACTACAGGGCCCGGTTGTAAAAGGCTGAGTTAGCACAGAAATGCCCAAAATTTGGGTATATGCTAATCTGGTCAGCTGGGCTCCTTTTATAGTCAATGGAGAGAGATCAGACACTTAGATTAAAAGGGGATGAATCATGCTATGGCGATGATATTTTCCACTCATAGAGGAATCCAGCTCAGCCAGGCTAGATTTCCCATTTCTAAATGGCTGAAGTTAAGTTAGGGGGATCCCACTCCTACTCGGCCTTTACAAAAGCATTTAGCAAGCACTAAATAGCATCCAGCTCACACACCACATCTGAACCGAACACAGACCCGCAGCCAGCACACCCCCGCAGCGCATTCTGGCTGCGTTCAGTTAAGGAATGGAAGGGTGGCGTCTGTTTGCTTTTGTTTCGTTTTCGTTGCAAAATTTCAAACTCGCTTTCTGTGTCTGATCCCAAAGAGAGCTCAGAGGCAAGGGGGGAGGCACCCAGGTTCCTGCTTCGGTTCTGTGTTTCACATCTGGGTGGGTTTGGTGGCTGTGGCTCCGCTCGCTGCTGCGTGATCGGCACCAAGCTCCCCACCAGCCCACGGGGCAGCTCTCTGCCAAGCTGCTGGGCCTCCAGAAGCGGAGCCCGACAGTATCCGAGCCTCCTGGAGGAGCCGGAGGTGGGAGGTTAATGCTCTATTTGTTTTTCGAATTAGAAACGGTAAACTGCAGCCACCGCTAAAACAAACCCAGCAACCTGCACAGCATTAAAACGTTACCGCGCCCAGGTTCGGTGTGCGGCAGCAGGAACACATTTTGCTTCTCAGGAATGTGGAGGGCTCGGTGTGTGCGGAGGCCCTTCCAGCTCCAGCTCTGCCTAGGTGGCTCGCCGCATCGTAACAGCGAGTGGCAGCCCGCGTGCAGAAAAACTAGGCCCATTTCAACTCAGATTCAGGCAAAAATTAGCAAGCGAGGAAAACTTGGCTATGCACGAGGGCTGTTTTCCATTGATGTATTCTAATCTGTACCTAAAAGGCTGTTTTTCTTTAAGGTAGATGTCCAAATTTAATATTGGCACGAGAAAGATAGTTCCACCGAGTCCAGCAGCGCTGATGCCAGCACTGCCTTTGGACCTCACTCTAAATAGAACAAATATTTGTATCAGTTTGCTGAGTATGTGAGTAATACGAATATTTGCCAAAATTTAAACAAGCTAAACTTTAGCCATGCCAAAAACCCCACCGTTCAATTTGGTATCGTTGGCAGCTCGCAGGCTCAAGAGAGGCCTAAGTCTGGAAGAGCTGGGGTGTTTTTGGCAAACGCTAATTTTTTTTTCCTCTCTCTCCACATTTTGGAAAATTTGTGCCTCTCTGTATTAATTTATGATGTCATTAAATAATTCTTTTTGCAGCTTGTATAGAAGGAATGTTTCTTTTGAAGATGAGAACTCCCCTGAGGATGGTTATAGTGAAAAATTCCAGCAGGAGGAAAAAGTCTCCTCCCTCCCTGGCCACGAGTGTTTCTGCAGTATTGCTTGAACAGCAAAAAATTTACAATATTTTAATTCAAGGGTCTGCTCCAAGGAGGTGCCATGCACTTGACTGTGACAAGAGGCAGCCTAAATTCAATGTGATTTGAGGGCTTTTACTGCTTTGATAGTAGGATGTAACGGAAATCATGAGACTGTGACTTGCTGGTGGGGAAAGCAAGGTTTTGAACAGATTTCCTTTCCACAAATACAGGATCAATATTAAAAATAACAGCAAAGAAAACGTTGGGAACCGTACAACAAAAGCAAAAAGCCGTGTCCAACACGAGATGTACTTTAACACAAAAACACTGCCACATGAGAAACTGCCCTGGGCTCTGTCACTTGGTCACAGTAGGCATTAAGAGTTCAGATGGGTTTCATGAGGAGATTCACAGCCACTCCTTGCACCAGCACCGTGAGGTATAGGCCAGCCCAGGTTGCATTTCAACTGAAGTGTAAAATTAAACTCGGCAGGGGCTGCCTGGCCCAGCAGAGAAGCTGCCCAGGTGGTGACTGCGGCCAAGCAAGGCCGCAGGCTTGCCTTCTGTCAGGGAACTTGTTATGGCAGTCGTGACCAGGAGGCCTACCTGGCTGATTAATTCTGAGAATGAGCTTCTAACGTTGTGGTAGATTTCAAGTAAAAGGCTTTCAACAATTAAAATATATTAATTTTGCTTTGTGGTTTTAAGTAGCAAAGACTGTGAGTGTAAAGTGGGAAGGACGATGGGGAATCAAAATGTAATGAAGGGATAAAGCACCTGTGGCAGCAGGAAGCCTCTGAACCCCAGCCATAGACCTCCAGACCTTCACGTAGCCCTAGAAAGGTGTGAACTCCCCCTAGGCATGCACAAAGCCAGTCCCTGATAATTATTAATTATTCCTGTCCAAGTGGAACAGTCTTTATCCAAAAGTCAGCACTCCCAGCCCACGGTATGTTTCAGGCTGTTCATTGATTAGGGAGTTCCACAACATGAGGGGTTGACCATGGTATAGGTAAAGAAGGCACGGCAGCAGCTCCTCAGGTTTCCTTCTAGAAGAAATGCACCCCCAGGAGAGGGCTTATGGCTGCAGGGGCTGGTGCTGGTGACTCCTGAGGCTGTTTGATCCGAATCCTCCTTTCTGCTCCGCCCTCACATCCCTCATACCCCACGCAGCTTAGAGGTCCCTGGGCAGGCACCAAGGTGCCCCCAGGCTGGGACTGCAGCCCCGAGTCTGCCCTTGGAACCTGGCCCTAGGAGAGAGGGAACAAAGAGTATATAAATTAGTGCAAAGTGCTGATCACGCTAGTTCAATTAAAATTAGGCTTTGATTTATGTTAATTAGAAACTTGTTTAGACAAAAGAGAAACAAAACACACTGGAATGAGAACAGGAGGAATAGCTAGAATGGGTCAAAAGGCTCTTGTTCCACAGAAAAATAATAAAGGGTAAGAGGTCTGAACAAGTACTGTGCAAGTGCCAGCAAGCTTTCATCTGGTATTCTTTTTGTTGCCATTTTCCTTAGTTTTCAGCTAATACTAATCTTTGGCTTTTAGCCATGCATTGTTACAGTTCTGATGAATATTTTCAGTGGGGTTGTATTCACAAAGTGGAGGAAGGGTGCTTTTTTTTTTTTTTTTTTTTTTTTTTTTTTAAGACAATTTCATCAAATGGCCATCTTTGTCACCACAATCTACTTGGCCAAGGACGATTTTAACAATTTCAAAGATAAAACTTGACAAATGCAGCTTCTAGCTGGGAAGTTTACACTGATAGCAGGAAATAAGGCCAAATTTGTACAAAGCCTCAGACTCAGCCAGCAGGAATGGATGCATCCTTTGACAAACATTTACTAGAGAACAGCATGTGCAGAGAACAGTATGTGCAAAACTACTATTTTTCCTTAACAGCCTCTATCTTACGTAAGGCAGTCAACAATGTATGCTGGAGTTCAGCATTCAGCAGAGAGATGAAAAGGAATATTCATAGATTTTCCTGCCAAAATCGTAAGGCTTAGTCCTGTTTCTGTTGAGGTCGGTAGGAAAACTTTTATAGATTTCAGTATGGCAAGGCCAGGGCCCTGGTCTTCTTTTCAGGGCTGTCAGCCTTGGCTTTGCTGTGTGCAGGCTAGGTATGAAGCACAGCCTATTTGTGTTTGATGGATGACGCAGCCACACTCTGCAAATTATGGTTTAGTCATGCCCAGTGCCTTTGAGCAGCTACTGAGAGAATAATAAAACTTTGAATTTAATACTTGATATTGTATTTAATATCAGCTGTGTATCTAATGCACAGATGAATTGCTCAAAATGTAAGAAGAATAAGTCTTAAACCATTGATTACCCACACTAAATCCAAGCACTCATTTTACCCTGAAACTTTAGAGCAGATTTCCCTAGACATGAGGAATCAATCAGGAGACATCCTGGAAAGGTGATGAACTTGCTTTGTGCTTCAGAAGTAATATGAAACAGTCAGCACGCAATGGATACCTAGACTGAAAGCAAAGGTGACAGCTACCGAGCAGCTACGTGCCAGACAAAATGGAAGTGAGGATAGGTAATCAATTCAATTTAAAGTCAAAAATAAAAGTAGACACAACATCTTACCTGGTTAGACATCTTTGGGTAAGAATTTAGTCTAAGACTTACTTATGAGAACACTAAAGATGACCAAAATGAGAAAAATATCCAAGATTTCAGCCATATAAAAGTTCTGTTTTAAATGAATCTGCATTCTTCTTTCCCATCCTTCTTAAAACACGATCAATTCAAAGCTTAGAAAGCTCCACCCTTCCCTCCCTCAGGCTTTCCCTCTCAGCATTCATCATTATGAAAGAAAGTAGACAGGTTAGAGGCAGGAAAAACTTCCACTGGGATTTCTGCCCAGTGTCACAGAGAAGGACTGGATTTACACTCAGTGTTAAAACTGAGCACATGCCTGTTACACAAATGTTTGGATGTCAAGCAGTTTTTCTACATTGCTTCATCAGGAATGTGCAAGGAGAGAGGGGTTTAACTCTCTATAAACGTCACCCAAGCACTACAAGACTGGATGGAAGGTGTTGGTGCAAGCTGACTGCAGTGCATGAAAAAGCAAGAGGGCAAATCTCAAACAATACAAACGCCAGACATTTAGAGTGAGACAAGTGAACACTGGAATATTGATGTCTTGATGGATTCCCTGAATGTTCTCCCCTGTGTGGCACAGCTCAGCAGCAGCAGAGGCTGCTGCAGCACCAGCCACAACACGACACTGACTCCACGAGAATGAGGGATGCTTCCCATGGAGAAGTGCAAGGAAGAGCCAGTCCTGCGAGCTGTGCTATTGGATCAGGATTCTACTTAAATCTGCTTAGAAAAAAACAGGGTGAAGTCACCCAAAGGTGACATATGTTCAGTGATCACAGACTACAGAGTGCTGTTTCTCTTTAAAAGGGAAAACAAGCCTGCTGTAACCTCATCTGAAAATGTGGAGGCTGGAAACATTAAATCAAGAACCTGGAAATATAAATACCCTGCCGCTCTTTGAACCCCAAGAAACGAGGACCACACCTGCATGTCCCATTCTAGGGCATGCCCCCTAAAGCACAGAGGGACCAAGTGTGTTTTTGCTAGCTCATTCTCCTCTTCACAAATGCTAATCTGAGTTACAGATGCAAAGAAGCCACTATTAAATCCTTGTTCAGACCAGCTACTAAGACAAATCAACATACGTAAAGCAAAAAATCCTTATTTACTTGTATTCTTACTCTTACCTGTGGTTTTAAAAAGGGCTGCAGTCTAAGAAATCCAGGAAAGTTCAGGATTTACAAATGCAAATGCACTCAGGAATGATTCAGTCTACAGCCATTGATAGATGACTTAATTTTTGCTTTGCTTCTCTCATGCACAACATGAAAATAATATTTACTCACCTCTAGGAAGCGGTTAATTAGATCGCCTGAAAATCAATATTCATCCTATAAACAGCAAGAGAACAGGAAGCAGGAAGTCAGCAGCCAGGAACGAAATGCAAGTTAAAATGTGAACTTGAAAACTAAAAAGAGAAGAGAAAGGCAGAAAGTTAAAAAATAAAACAAAAACCTTCTTGTCAAAGAGCAAAAGCAACTGGCAACGTGGATACAAGCTGTCTGAGGATCAGAGTTTTGATGCAGAACACGTGCACGGCTCTCTGCATGCTAAGCAACGCGGCCGACCTGTGTGGAGTTGTGCACAGGGCACAAATGAGTGAGAGATGATGAACTCTATACAGGGAGACACCGCTCAGTGTGCGTTTAGCAACTTTGCTGTTATGTACAGAGGTTTAGGTTGTTCCCCAACTTCATTTGTTTTAACCACCATCTGTTCTCATCATATTTGAAGAAATACAGGTAACACAGCTCTGCATTATATAGCTTGAACAAAAGGTCTCTGGAAAGGTTGAAAAAGGGAGAAAAGAAGCTGTTACCCTATTTAGGATGGACTAAACATCCCCTTCCTCCAGGATCTCTCAGTACTTCTTTGGTTATGTTTGAATTTTAGATCTGTGGGCCAGTCATTATCATCACGTTGATGCTAATAAAAAAATTTCCTATGAATTTCAAAATGACAGAGTATTCTCCTACCACATACGCTGCGTGCCCCTTTCCTGAAAGGCTAATACAGCAGTAATTCCTTACTTGGCTCCAGTGCTATGATCAGATGTTTCCTTGGAAATATTTTCTTCCTTTGTGCTGTTTCTGTGCACAGATTGAGATTCGTTGTGTGGCAATGGTTTTCCACAGCCCAGCTTTTTTGTGTCCTTCCCAGTTTTCCTTTGCACAGATTCGAAGCTCACCAACTCAATGAATCATGCTTTCTTCTAATAAAATATTATCTCAATTCAATGGTAAAGGTCAGGTTTCTGTAAAAGAGATTCAGAATGAGTAATAACTACAGTAAAAGATTTTTTGTTGTTATTATTCTGCATTTTCTTTCCCCTTATTTTTGGGGGATCAGAGACTCCTTAGAGGACCAGCAGCATTGGACAAACTGAGCAATTAATTACATCGGCAGTATTTTATAACTTTATTCTCATTTAAGGGGTACCTGTCTCTGCTGGAGTCCATTAGCTCAGCAGGGCGAGGGATTGCTTTCTGCTGCCTCCTGGGCAGGGCCATCAAGAGCTGGCGCAGCTCTTGGGTCAACAAAATACCTGTCCCTCTTACTCCTCTGACCTTTCCCACCCCTGTTCCTAAAGCATACTGACAGGGAGCCCCGAGGCAGCTGCGAAGGGTCAGAGCAGACGGAAAGGAGCAGGGGGCCCCTGGGGGCACCGACTTTCCCTGAGCACCGGCTGGGGGGAGTCCAAGTTGTTTCCCCCCTCCGAACCAGAGATCTTTGCACCAGTGCTCACACACAGCAAGCAGCGCACTGCTGAGCCTGCTGTTCTGGCAGGCACATGCAGAGGCTTGGAGTCAGGGCTATGGTTTCTGGCTGGCAGTACAGATGCCCTGGTTGCCTGTGCAATAAACTTTGCCTATCTCGCTGCCGAAAATGGCAAGATCTGAAGATCTTCAGGGTATCGATGATGTCTTTCGTGTGCTGGTGTGATGCCTCACACAGAGGAACCGCTGGGAATTACCAGTGTGAAGTGATAATAATGGCTGTCCGCACATTTCATTTAATAGGGCACATTCCTTTTGCAGCGTTACTGAAAATCAGTAAAGTATAAATGAAATAAAAACCTGTTCTTTTACTTACTGCTAATAGCAGCCAGTCATACTATCCTTGATAGCCACATATAATAACATTCAAGAAATGTTTTAAAATGGCTTGCACTATGGCAAAATACCACACTATAAATGAGACTTCTGGAGATGTTACCTAAATTAGTCTTGTTCGAATGCCTTTGTGATATTTAATCATAATAATAAAAGTCAGAGTGCTTTTACCTTTCCATCAGAAACTGGTCTTATGTGTTTTGCTAGCCCCAGCCTATACTGGCAATGTGGTGTCGTGGTGTATAATTTCATAGACACAAAGACACTTCACTACCATAGCTCTCATTATTAAACAATATATTTTAATTGTCACCACCTTTCTCATATAGACATGGGCCAAATCTATCCTTATTGGCTTCAACTGAGCTACACAAGGGATGAATTTGGCTCAATATATATAAAAATACAGCAAGTCAAGTAATAAAAAGAAATGTTTGGGTTTCTTTTTTTATAGCAGTCAATGCTTTTTGCCATAAGAACACATATGCCTGGCCAGTAAAATCCTGTGATAAAGGACTAAAGTGTTTAAGACTTCATATGCAGAATAGCCCATGGTGTTTAATTACAATAGCAAAAGATGCCATGTTATAAAAGCATTTCTTACCTGGAGAAGGGATCCATGCTCTCCAATGAAGCTTAATTACCCAGGGCATGCTGAGTTTTTCCCTCCTGGCAATAACCTCTAACACCAATAACTCTGCTATTTCTTTTGACATCTGACTAGCTGAATATTGTTAATTTTTGTTCTAATTTCCTTATTTGGATTATAGCCTTCCAGTGTTTTACTTCCGATGAAAGTTTTGAACATGGTAAGAGCTTCATTCCTGGGACATTCCTCTTTCTTTCTCCCACTTTTCCCCTTGGAATTTCGCGCTCTCAGCTCTGTTCTGGCACTCCTGCTCCCCCATCTCTTTATGCCTTCCCAGCATACTTGGCTCCAGATGTAGATTTATGCATTTCCCCTCTTCTGATTCTTTCCTGCTCCACTAGAAAGGTTTCAGCTTCATCACAGGCCCAGAATATCCAAATTTCTGCAGCATTAATTTACTTTAAAGCATTAAAGACATTGCCTTGCCAGCCTGTAAGTCCCATGCACTCTGGAGTCCTTTGTTTTACAGCTCGCACACAAACACACAAATCCACACACGGGGCAGTAACGCTCGGAGACAGGCAGTGGAGCTTATGAGGAGTCATTTTTTACTTCTGCAAAAAAACATCCAACTGATATTATTTGGGCGAAACTGAGTCTTCATTATTTATTAAGTTATATTAGATTTATAGCTCAGATTTGTGCTGAACTTTTATTAATTCATAAAGAGAAGATTCGATTTTTATATAGAAAACCTGCTTTTTTTTGAGGCAGGGAGGAAACCTCTCCTTGGAAAGCGATGTGATATTGAGCCATGATTTAGAATCATCACCTGCGTTATCCTCCTCATCCTCACGCCTGCATCCTCAGCTTTTGATGAAGTCAATTTCCTGAGTGCATGTGAAAGCCTGTGGCTGCAGCCTGGAACAATCCTACCTCAGTGCTTCCCTTGTGTTGTTGATCCTTTAATTTCCTCCAGCCGACTCCTGCAGGGGACTAGTTCGAAGTTTTATGCTACTCTTTTGGACTAATCATTTACGACTGACTTAAATAAAAAAAAAAAAATCACTTGCATACTGCTACTGCTAGATAGGAGGGTCACTAATTGGGATGTACTTCTAGCCAAATGGCAACACAGGTTTAACAGTAATTCATGGGAACCTAAAAATTGCGCCCAAAGCTTTATAACCAGACCAGTTATTTAGAATCTTATTCAGAAATTATGGTTGCAATCTATAAAATACCTCTGTAGTGCAAGTTTTCACACCTTTAAAAACTCGGCTAGCAGAAAGTCATATAAAAACCGATTAATAGAAGAAATCACAATATCAAGGGAAAGATCTCCTATTCTGCCGGGTTATGAAAGTTACACCCAGGACTCTCATCATGTGACCCAGTTCTATGTTAAAAACACAAGATCTGAGAGTTTCTGATATTACAGATCTGAAAGAAAGATTAGGAGTTTAAAAATATGCGCCTTGGGGGTTAACTGTTGACTAATGACAGAACAGGAAACAAGATGAAAATACAGAAGGGACATACATTAATTTATCCAGGATTATTGACTTTAATTTGCAGTAAAATGGAGATCAAAACAGTAAATTTATTATATGAGAAAAGCAATACTCATTAAATACTACTTTTGTGATAAAATTATTAAATTCCAACTTTAAGTCGAGAGTCTGATGTTCATTTCTTAGATAACTGTTACTTTGTTTTGTAATGTTAAGTCCATTATCACAGATGCACAGCCTTCCAAATACATTCTTTGTAATTAGTGAGGCTTTATTGAGCTATGCAAACGAGGACTACCAAGACAGCAGTGACCCAGGCTTAAATACACAGATATGAATGGTCAACTATACTTCTTACTTTTGTATTTGCATACATTATAGGTGACAAAGTTGTTCCTGAAGTTGCTTTTTTTATTACATTAAAGGATAAATTTATAAAATTTTGATTTACTATACACAACAGCTATCGCTAATAACTATTGTTATTTCTTAAAATCAATACAAGTACATAACTTCAAGTGAAAGCAAAGTCATACTATGTTTTTGAGAACAGAAATGGATTCTGTTGCTATTTCTGGCTGCATCTGTTAGCCTGGCTCAGATTCACTCACACAGTGTGAGTAAAAGCTAGTAATTAACTATTTCACACGCTCATGATAAAAACCTGAGATTCAATTAAAAAAATATTCTGGCATACTAAGTTAAATGTCTTCCAAACTACTCTAGGAAACAGAAAGAAGGAGATAGAAAGTCTGAAGCGATCATTTATATGAATGTATGTGAACGTATGGCAGAAACAAAAATCTCAAGCAGCAGCCGATTTATACGCTGCTAATTCCTTCCTTAGACGATCAGACTTAGACTGGTCTGATTTCAGCAGGAAAATCTCTGCATAGAGATCAACACTGGTCTCAAGCATAAGATCCTAATTATTTGAAAGGCATTTGTTTTCATAGCTTTTTTTTTTTATGTGTCCAAGTCGATGGCATTTTAATGCCTTATTAAATGGTTGTTTTACAGCAGCCCGTCTGTTCAGTCTCTGTGCCCATGTCTGTACTTTGTGCTGCAGGATTTTACCTTTCATGCTAGCCAAAAAATATTTTCCAAATTCCCTATAAAAGTTTTCGATATTTCCTAAGACAAATAGAGTGGGGTTTTTTACGTACTCTAAAATGACATTGATATGGTAGATATGACATGTATGTCTCTCCAGTTACGTTGTGCTTGCAAAAAAGGTGAAGGTTTGTGTTCATTAAAGGGATATACTCAGCTACCTTGGGCCCAGCTTTATATGATTTTTTTTTAATTACATAAACAAATGCAAATGTTTTCATTTCTGTTTTTCTTTAATTCAGTTTAAAACCCAGCAATACAAAATATGTGACCATTCTCCTGCCATGTTTTTAGCCCAGATGTTGCCATGTGGGTTCTCTAAATGCACAAGAAGTAAAAAATGAACCAATTCAAAACCAACCTGAAATAAAACGAAATCGAAGATAAATTTTTGTATCAAATTACTGTGAAGTGCATGAAAGGTAAACAAACATTCAAACGTGAAAAGGAAGGTAGACTTAAAAATTGTATATTTACTAGCACTCTGACAACAGTCCCAGTGAAATATTTCTGTTAAACGTAACGGTGAAACCTTTGTTTTGTTGAAGGCAAATGGCAGAACCCCCACTGACTTCAGTGGGGCCAGAATTTGTAACCAGGTAGCTCTTTCCCTCCACTCATACACAAAGATTGTACTGCTTTGCCACTTACACCAGAGTATTTTTATGCAGTTAGCATTAAATATCAAAATACTTATCTGTCTTATTAGTCCTGATGAATATGTGGTATGGATCAGCAAAATCTTTTAAGGTAAAGTATAATCTAAATTGCCTGGTTTCAGTTCTTAGGGTTCTGTAGCAATAAGCAATAACGAACAGACGATGGAAGCAGCCAGACCTACAAAAGAAATAGTATTTTAAAAGTACTCTACTTAGGGGGGAAAAGGGTTGCCTTTGTACATAAAGAGCTCTATTCATTAAAAGAAGTTTTTACAAATGTGGTTATTTCAAATAGTCAAAAAGTGTGAAACACACTTAAAATGAGTAAAATTTGTGGGTTTTCCTATGGGTTAAATATGTGCCATACTAATAAAGCTCTCCTCACACCTCTTCCTAACTCATAGTCTTTGGCCTCATTCTGCAAGATGTTTTGAATTGAGGGAGCTCAGCACTTTGCTGGGATTGACCATGGGCTGCTGAAGTCCCAGCTCTGCAAAGATTAACAGATTTTAAAAGGATCCAGAAGAAATCATCTATATTTGACGTTCAGCATGGCACACATCACCGTGTCTTGCAGCAAGCCCATGAAGAACAAGCATGAGTGAGCTCCATGTGCTTACCTGGGACCTAGCAATTCCACCCCGAGGAACCCATGGAGGACAGGACACACTAAGGGACTGCTATACTGAGTAGCTAAGCAGGCACAATAAAGGTGACAAGAGAACAGAGACTGAGTCAACAAAACAGAAACACCAACAAACCTCAAACCTTCTCCCTTACAGTTGCCATCAGGTCAAGTTTTAAAGCACAAATTACTTTGAATTCTGCCTAAGTGCCCAGAGCATCCTGAAATCCTCCTTGCTTCTGCAGGAGGCCTTCCCATAGCCAGAGTCAGTTTTCTGTCACTGTCCTTCCCACTCTTGTTTTTAAAAAGTACCTGGCACTCAGGGTGCATACGAAGCAGAGATCAACAGCTTACAGACAGAGGACAACCTGCTTTATGCTTCATGAAAGGTTTCCTATGCTGATACAGGTCAGTATTACTGGATATCCTATAGTAACATAGCAGTACTGCTGACTTAGATTCAAGCTCATTCAACAGAGGTTTAACAAAGTGATGAAAATCTTTACAGAACTGATTTTCCAGTGTTTGATCCCTCCTGCTGCTTGAAGAAAGCTTTAAATAGCTTTCAAATAAAACAACTCCATTAAAAAGAGATTATTCATAAGAACCCACTTTGCTAGCTTTTGTCCTTTCAGTTTTTAGCTCCCTATTATGTGCAGCAGTGCAGATATCTGTGTTTAAAATAAATGCTCTCGAAACCATGTCCTTATTTGCCTTTACTGCTGTAACTCTGCTGTCACGGTCTGTTGCTGCACGTCAGGGAGACGCTAGGAATGGAACATGACAGCTCCACGATGGTTCAAGCATGGAAAAACAAGACATGCTTTGGAAAGCATGGCTTTATGTGCAGTAACTTTAACACTGAACCAGTTCGCTGTAGGAAAAAAAGCCCTCGACATTTCACAGTGTTTGTTTAATCACAGCAAAAAAATTAGCAGTCCATTACTTAGTTCACACAGGTAGGCCCAAGAAACCGTAGTAATATTTTATAGACAGGTATATATAAGAATACATGTATTTCAGCCACGTGATATTGTATTTCTTTTATCAAGGTACAGATTTTCTTTACTTCTGTCTAACAGTAGAGAAGGAGAATTTAATGGCAAAATACCTCCTTAACACTAAGAAATTAACAAAATTCAAATTATTCCCACATATTTCTGTCAGGAGAAAATAACAAACGACAAAGCCATGCATTTCTTCACTACAACTGTGTTTATTTACTAACAAAAATTCTGTTACTGCCACATAACAGGAGAGGACATCCTTGCCCCCAGCTCCAGCTCCCTGGCCGGGGGAAGGCAGACTTTGAGGACAGCCACTGTGACAATGGGGCACTGCGCTGCTTGTCCCTGCCACCTGCTCCTCCTGCCCTGCCCAGGCAGTGTCAGTAGTGACCCTGGGCAGTGTCAGTAGTGGCCCTGGGACATTGTTCTCCAGACAAAACCATGCACCAGCCCGTTTCAGCCCGTGCAAGCTCAACGTGCCTGCTCCCTGCGCTCAGGAGGCAGTGTGGCCTTCAGGGCCCCGGCAGCCCGGGGAGGCTTTGTCCAAACCATTTATCCCTTTCCAGAGAAACAGCAGTGAAAATGTTCTATAGATTTAACCACTGTCAGATGTTCTCTGAGCAGAATATTAATTTCTCTCCTGAGAACATAAACTTTTTGTTGTAATAAGCCACCATGCTCTCAAGCCCTTTGATTTCCTCTGTCAGTGCTGCCCCCCAGCCCGTAAGTGCCAGCATCTGGGCGCAGCCTGAAAGGTGTCTGAAACGTGGGGAGGCGAAAAGGGGAGCAGTTACACACGCTTTTTTTAAAAAAACTGAAAATGTTAAATCACAGCAGACTGGCCACTGAAATGGTTTCCTTCTCACCAAACTTATGCAGTGGTTTTACAATATTAGCAAAGCCACAAATAAACTGTCTGAAATAGCAGGAGCAGTAATCCTTAAGAAAACCAAAACCTTTTACCTGGCTGCCATTGTCTGGAGAGCTGGTCAGGGCTGTCCTGCCTCCATTTTCTTTTTGTCTGTGAAAACCATTCCCTGGCTGGCTGCAGACTCATAATTAATTACTTCTGCTTGCAATGATTCACTTGTCTTTGGATTTGATCTCAGGTTGCTGACTTTCAGCATATTACAGACCATTTGCAACTACATCAGTTCCTGTTCAAGTGTTTTACTTCGTACCGAGATATCATCTAGAGATAATGTGGAACAGGCATGCTGTGCGATACCTTCTCCCCATCCTCTGCAGTACAGCAGGTGTTGTGCCAAAAGACATCTCTTTAAATTGCAGTAGGTCTCGTCCTGCTCTGAAAGCTGCTCCCTCCCCCTTTTCCTGTTACTTGGCTCCACGGGCTCTGGTTGGGCCACCATTTGACTTTAATCAGAATGTGAGTGAGGTCCAAAAATTGTTGAAAGCTCACTTATCCCATCCCAGTTCATTTCCTTGATGCCCAGTAGCACTTCTTACCGCTTTGCTTTTGCTAAACAGAGAGGTGCGGGGTAATGGGTTGGTTTCCCTCAGAATCAATCTGTGGTAGACCACTGCGTGCAGGCTGTATATTTATTGGATCTAGAGAACTGATTTTTAACTGTAAAAAAACTTTTAGGGAATCTGAACAGTATGCCAAAGCTGTGATCGTGGCACAGCCGTGCTTTCTTTATCCTTGTTAACACCAGTACTAACAGCAGCGGTGACTCTGACCTCAGCAGAGGCTCGCGGTCCCAGCCGAGTCGAGAGGTACGGAGCCGACCTTTGTACCTGGCATCCATCTCCCAGCCGTTGTATTTTCACAGTGAGTTCCTTGTGCTAGACGGGATAAAGCTAGAGCAAGTATACCTACCTATACCTCCACAGGCTGCAAGGAAATCCCCTGAGAACACGCTGCTGCTCTGCATTTAAATTAATTCAGAATTTAAATTTCTTAGTGCCAGAGAAAATTAACCTCTTCTTCAAACCTGCAAGGGCACTAGCAGCTAAGACTTCTGCAAAGGCCTGACCCTTAAACTAAGATTTCCATCACTTTTACTTTACTTGGGTGAAAATGTACTGCAACAAGTAACTGCTGTACTAGTTTGCTGCCGTATCAGGAAAATCTGCACACTGCAAATCAGTTATCTGCAGATGCTATGCTTCAGCCGGGCCACATAACTCAAGAAAATTTCCAGAGATTTAATTCATAAGACAATATTTCCAGCAGGTATTACTCTGTTACTAGCCATAATGAAATCTAAATCCTTTCTTAGCTTATCCATCATTTTAGTCACATTTCGTGCTCTGAAGCAGAGGACTAATTTTCAAAACCAATTTTCCCACTTTTTGGACGCGTCATGTCTCCCAGCAGTCACTGTCTCTGCCTGCCGCTAATTTATCCTTTTTCAGCCTGCCTAGTCCAATAACTTCAGTTTAAGAAACGGTGCTTTATTCTATTCATTTCACAGATCCTAATACACATTCAAAAAGTAAACTGACCAAATCTAGAGAAAAGCTATAAGCTTTATCCTCATTCCTGTGGAGCTCAGCACTTTCAGCTTCATGTCTTCACATTTCCTGAATTGATTGAAGAACTTTCCCTAGACATTTCTGAGGCTCTGTCCTGGCCAGCCTCAGAGCAGCTTTTATGGCCAATTTTTACATAAGTCTAATATTTAACTGAACTACTTCCTTTAATTTTTCCACAGCTGCCAATTTTCCTTGTTTTACAAACCAAGATTATCACTTTTCCTAATTGTACAGTAAGGCCAGGGATCAGATTAGGATCGCCCCTTTTCATCATTCATTTTATAAACAGTACTTGAGTTACAGGATTTGGCTGCTAGGAGCCCCCGTTTCTGTCCATCTTTCCAGTCATTCACCAGGACTGTGATTTGAACAGACCAGATGTGCTCCTTATGAAACCCATAGTTCAGAAGAAGAGGTTTTTATATTTTCTGAGCTGATCTGTAAATTTCAAATCACAAGTCCTTTTTTCTCATAATTTGCCATTCATTGGCTGACAATCTTTTTGTTAAGCTATGGATTTCAAATGTGACCTACGGACTTCAAATATGACCTAAGATTCTGTCATTCCATTCTTTCATTTCTTTCAAAAACTGGTATTTTAGTTTCATATGAGCAGGTAAGTTCCAGGCTGGTCAAAACTTTTCTGCTTTCTACTGTCTTCTGGTAAACTTTCCAGGTGAGAGCAGCCAGATTGCTGGTCAAGTCAGTGACCTTGCCAATTCTTTCTTGGAGCTTTGCATCCAGCCTTACCATCTGGCCAGAGAGTTGTGTAGGTGGCCCTCGTTTCTGAAGAGGACTTCCAGACATTTCAGATTCTTGTTGTAGCTACATCTGCCCATCTTCGATTTCTGCAAGCCCTACATAAAACAAGATACTTGTGGGGAAAAAAAAAAAAAAAAAAAAAAAAAAAAAAAAAAAAAAAAGTAAAAGGAAAAAAAAGAAGCACCAATGTTTCAGATACTGGTGTTTAAAAACACTGTCTGGATGTTCTGAATTAATATTGTGTTAGAAGTCGCCAAATGGCCGTATGCCAAGATTCAACCCAAGGTGTATTTTTATGGCAAAGCTATAAACCCACAAAATAAGTGGTTTATAATGGAAATTCTGACACACTTTTAATATTAAGAGCAGAAATACACTGGATGTGGCAAGTAAGTATTTGACAGCTGCGGTACTCACTTGTCGGCTGTTCTGCCCTAACAAGTCCCTTTTGATGGTGGGATTCCTGCTTTATCTCGTTCTGTTTCAGCCACGTGGTTTTGGGGCAGATGGGCTGAGCCATGCTTTGTGTTCATTCCAGAGCCTCTTGGTACCCTCTTTCTGGGCGATTACAGTGAAAAGCAACAGCTGGGATTCACCAAGTACTGATGTCTGCAGTGTTCTGAAGCTCATGGCAAGGACTCAGCTTCGCACAGAGAGCAGCTTTCATTAGCCAAGGGACGGGAAGTTTCCTCTGCCATTGATCCCTTCAAGTGGCACTTCTCACGCGGTGACAAGGTATTGTGGCTGGGAAGAGCTGTAAGACTGAGCACATGGGCATTGCTTTCAACTTGAAACCCACAGACAAAAACCATCCTTGGAAGCCTGTTGATGCTACGGTTATGGATCAGCCCATGCACAGCTGGAGAAAGGAGTGACCTTGAGCAATATTTTGGACAATCTACCAGTTTACACAGGCACAAAAAGTATCCATCTACTGTGAATGCAATAATAACGAAATGGCAGTCGAGGGGGTAAAGGACTAAAAGTAATTTCAGAAGGCTGAAACATCATATAAATAAATCCTATACCTAACTTGAGATATTATAACCCTGATTTGGAGGGGGAAAAAAAAGACAGAACAGTTTTACTCACAGGTGAATGCTCTAACTAGTCACCTACATTAGAAGCCTCCCACTGACATCATTTACAACACACATATATTTATCCAGGGAAAGTAGGA